AGCTACTTCCAGACACAAATGAGAGAACACCTCACTCTGACCATTTTACTTGCCGTAGCAGAGCAGGTTAGACTGTTTACATGTTATCTAGAGCATTCTTGACTAACTATTACTTTTTTGGTCTACACTTACTGACATCGGTCATATCCAGCAGGTGTTACGCGTTTGTAAATTCATCAGTTGTTCTGCGCTTTCTAGCTCTAGCTCTAGCTGTGTATAGACACAGAAAATTGATATGAGGGGAAAAAGTCAGTAACTCACCCACTCCTCATATGACATCCTCCTAGCATCTAGCTAGCTAGCTATCTAGCTAACGTTAGGCTCCGTGTTTTTAGCTTGCTACATAAATAGATACGCTAGCCTATTAGCCACGTTATGACTGACTTGCAATCATTGCCCTTGCTAGTTTGATTGTATTGACATTCCCAGCCTTAGTTACATTAGTCCGTTTTTGTCCAGAACATTGAGTCATTGAAACTGAAACAGTGCCTCCCAAATGGAGGCAGCCAACAATGTACCAGCCCAGCTGTGATTTACAACCTGATAGCAATATTTTTTGGACTACCTAGAAATGTATTGGTGAATTATATTAATCATGCGTTGAACTGCATCCATCTATTCTGCCAAAAATGCCTTAGTGTATGTCATGGAACGTTGAGTCAAATATAACCTATTTTTAAAACCTCTTATGAATTTGGTCTTGTAGCATAAACTGGGAATTTTATATTTGTGTCTGATATTATGATTGTCTGTTTGTTTCATATCTGCAAAGTAGTTAAAACACTGTCAGGTCCACTTTAAACGTTAGGTCACTGGTTACTTTGTGTGCTAAATTTGAAATGTTTTTTTGCAATGGGAAGTAATAGTTGTACATTTCGATTGGAAAATGCTTAATGGTTTTGTTTTTGTATTCTTATGATTGGGACCTACTGGCTTATTATGTCAGAGTTTATGGACTGCTTATCCTTTAACATCATGCTGTATGTGACTGCTGTCTTTCCATCGGCCCTATGCAGTGGTGTAGTGGTGCCTGGAGAAGTGGGTATTCTAAAATGTTCCCCAAAAGTTCCCAAACGGCCCGCCCAGCGAAGGAAAGGCACCCTGTGTGAAAAATCCTATGTTTTTGTTTTAATGAGTTTTCCTATAGATTTTTCAGATTTTCACTCTCAAAATCACACTTTTTTTTTAAAATATAAAAAATACAACAATGTGATGGTCTAAGTCCACAACAATGCTTAAACCACATCAATCTGATTGGGTGGGCCTGTCAGGGCCTGGCTCCCCAGTGGGTTGGCCTCTGTTCACCCAGGCCCTTCCATGTCTACGCCCCTGATGCAAACAGGGCATGATGACAATTGCACATCACAAATACAGTGAGGGAAAAAAGTATTTGATCCCCTGCTGATTTTGTACGTTTGCCCACTGACAAAGACATGATCAGTCCATAATTTTAATGGTAGGTTTATTTGAACAGTGAGAGACAGAATAACAACAACAGAATCCAGAAAAACGCATGTCAAAAATGTTATAAATTGATTTGCATTTTAATGAGGGAAATCATTATTTGACCCCTCTGCAAAACATGACTTAGTACTTGGTGGCAAAACCCTTGTTGGCAATCACAGAGGTCAGACGTTTCTTGTAGTTGGCCACCAGGTTTGCACACATCTCAGGAGGGATTTTGTCCCACTCCTCTTTGCAGATCTTCTCCAAGTCATTAAGCCTGATTTTTGGCAACTCGAACCTTCAGCTCGCTACACAGATTTTCTATGGAATTAAGGTCTGGAGACTGGCTAGGCCACTCCAGGACCTTAATGTGCTTCTTCTTGAGCCACTCCTTTGTTGCCTTGGCCGTGTGTTTTGGGTCATTGTCATGCTGGAATACCCATCCACGACCCATTTTTAATGCCCTGGCTGAGGGAAGGAGGTTCTCACCCACGATTTGACGGTACATGGCCCCGTCCATTGTCCCTTTGATGCGGTAAAGTTGTCCTGTCCCCTTAGCAGAAAAACACCCCCAAAGCATAATGTTTCCTCCTCCATGTTTGACAGTGGGGATGGTGTTCTTGGGGTCATAGGCAGCATTCCTCCTCCTCCAAACACGGCAAGTTGAGTTGATGCCAAAGAGCTCGATTTTGGTCTCATCTGACCACAACACTTTCACCCAGTTCTCCTCTGGATAATTCAGATGTTCATTGGCAAACTTCAGACGGGCCTGTATATGTGCTTTCTTGAGCAGGGGGACCTTGCGGCCGCTGCAGGATTTCAGTCCTTCACGACGTAGTGTGTTACCAATTGTTTTCTTGGTGACTATGGTCCCAGCTGCCTTGAGATCATTGACAAGATCCTCCCGTGTAGTTCTGGGCTGATTCCTCACCGTTCTCATGATCATTGCAACTCCACGAGGTGAGATCTTGCATGGAGCCCCAGGCCGAGGGAGATTGACAGTTATTTTGTGTTTCTTCCATTTGCGAATAATCGCACCAACTGTTGTCACCTTCTCATCAAGCTGCTTGGCGATTGTCTTGTAGCCCATTCCAGCCTTGTGTAGGTCTACAATCTTGTCCCTGACATTCTTGGAGAGCTCTTTGGTCTTGGCCATGGTGGAGAGTTTGGAGTCTGATTGATTGACTGCTTCTGTGGACAGGTGTCTTTTATACAGGTAACAAACTGAGATTAGGAGCACTCCCTTTAAGAGTGAGTATATGCAATGCCCACTGAAAAAAATGTGTGTATACGGCTTATACTTGCGTATAGCTCCACTACACTACTGGCCCTTTGTGTTTTACAAAAAGTTCACTCTCCTACATAAGTGCTCTGCTATTATGGTTGCTGTCCTTTCAGAATCACGAACCTGTCACACACTGAAGGCCTATAGTTTTGAAACTGCGCAAACATATATACAATAGATATAAAGGCTGTTAAGATACTGTATTAATGTTTCAAAGGAGAAAGGAGTGTATATATTTGGCCTGGTGAAGCGGTTTTATGCGCTGACTGAATGGAAGCTGATACAGTGGGGAAAAAAAGTATTTAGTCAGCCACCAATTGTGCAAGTTCTCCCACTTAAAAAGATGAGAGAGGCCTGTAATTTTCATCATAGGTACACGTCAAGTATGACAGACAAATTGAGAAAAAAAATTCCAGAAAATCACATTGTAGGATTTTTAATGAATTTATTTGCAAATTATGGTGGAAAATAAGTATTTGGTCACCTACAAACAAGCAAGATTTCTGGCTCTCACAGACCTGTAACTTCTTCTTTAAGAGGCTCCTCTGTCCTCCACTCGTTACCTGTATTAATGGCACCTGTTTGAACTTGTTATCAGTATAAAAGACACCTGTCCACAACCTCAAACAGTCACACTCCAAACTCCACTATGGCCAAGACCAAAGAGCTGTCAAAGGACACCAGAAACAAAATTGTAGACCTGCACCAGGCTGGGAAGACTGAATCTGCAATAGGTAAGCAGCTTGGTTTGAAGAAATCAACTGTGGGAGCAATTATTAGGAAATGGAAGACATACAAGACCACTAATAATCTCCCTCGATCTGGGGCTCCACGCAAGATCTCATCCCGTGGGGTCAAAATGATCACAAGAACGGTGAGCAAAAATCCCAGAACCACACGGGGGGACCTAGTGAATGACCTGCAGAGAGCTGGGACCAAAGTAACAAAGCCTACCATCAGTAACACACTACGCTGCCAGGGACTCAAATCCTGCAGTGCCAGACGTGTCCAGGCCCGTCTGAAGTTTGCTAGAGTGCATTTGGATGATCCAGAAGAGGATTGGGAGAATGTCATATGGTCAGATGAAACCAAAATAGAACTTTTTGGTAAAAACTCAACTCGTCGTGTTTGGAGGACAAAGAATGCTGAGTTGCATCCAAAGAACACCATACCTACTGTGAAGCATGGGGGTGGAAACATCATGCTTTGGGGCTGTTTTTCTGCAAAGGGACCAGGACGACTGATCCGTGTAAAGGAAAGAATGAATGGGGCCATGTATCGTGAGATTTTGAGTGAAAACCTCCTTCCATCAGCAAGGGCATTGAAGATGAAACGTGGCTGGGTCTTTCAGCATGACAATGATCCCAAACACACCGCCCGGGCAACGAAGGAGTGGCTTCGTAAGAAGCATTTCAAGGTCCTGGAGTGGCCTAGCCAGTCTCCAGATCTCAACCCCATAGAAAATCTTTGGAGGGAGTTGAAAGTCCGTGTTGCCCAGCGACAGTCCCAAAACATCACTGCTCTAGAGGAGATCTGCATGGAGGAATGGGCCAAAATACCAGCAACAGTGTGTGAAAACCTTGTGAAGACTTACAGAAAACGTTTGACCTGTGTCATTGCCAACAAAGGGTATATAACAAAGTATTGAGAAACTTTTGTTATTGACCAAAGACTTATTTTCCACCATATTTTGCAAATAAATTCATAAAAAATCCTACAATGTGATTTTCTGGATTTTTTTCTCATTTTGTCTGTCATAGTTGACGTGTACCTATGATGAAAATTACAGGCCTCTCTCATCTTTTTAAGTGGGAGAACTTGCACAATTGGTGGCTGACTAAATACTTTTTTCCCCCACTGTAATTATGAGTTTTTTACTCAGCTGGTCTCGGGAAGAAATTACGAGTCCTCACTTTCCGTGACAGAGTCAAGACCGAGTACGAATGTATCCGACACCGAGACAAGACCGATTCACTGAGTACTTGTGACTCGAGTACTACAACACTGCTGCTTTTCCCTCTTAACATCAAGGTACTGCTTTCCATCTGAAAAGAAAAGCCTCACACTCATGGCTCCGTAGATCCCAACGTTTGGACAGCTATGCTGCCTTCATCAGGGTTTCAGCTCTCCCTCTGATAGGGGGCCAACCAACTTGTGTATTCCAAATTAGGTTCATCGCCTGAGGGGCTGTTCCTACTGATAAATGAAACTGTACTTTCTCTACAGTTTTCTCTGTGTATAACATTGTGTGAAATCTGTCTGTGTGCAGGTGAGCCGGTTGCTGATGCTTGGTGGTGCCAACGTGAACTACCTTACAGAGGTGTTGAACAACGCCCCGGTGCTGTGTGTGCATGCCCACCTGGGTTACATTGACATGGTGGGGCTGCTGTTGGAGTACGGAGCCTCTGTAGACCAGCCCTCAGAGAGCGGTCTCACCCCGCTGGGCTATGCTGCCTCTGGGGGACACATGGCTATAGTCAACACACTGTGTCGCAGGAGAGCCAAGGTGAGAGGGGGAGAGAGGGGGCAGTGTGTGTTTGTAGATTCATCTCTATCTATGGATATGTTCCGAGGACGAATGGGGATTGACCAACTTTGTGTGTGTGAATTGTGTGTGTGTGTGTGTCCATCAACAGGTGGACCACCTGGATAAGAATGGTCAGTGTGCCATGGTGCATGCAGCTCTCAGGGGCCACATAGAGATGGTCAAGTTCCTCATCCAGTGGGACTGGGCCATGGGGCAAAAACAACCACAACAGCAGCAGCAAGGAGCCTTCAGCAAGAGCCACGCCATCCAGCATGCCCTCATTGCTGCAGCTAGCATGGGATACACAGAGGTAGGCCTCCCAGCAGATCGCCTTACCTGGGATATTTTGTGAAATAGATTACCTGGGTATACTGTAGACCTCACTTAGCTGACAGTTTTGTAGAGCTAAGAATAGAGAGTTTCTTTTTTAGACGTCTGGGTAATTTCCCTGCAGTGTGTGGACTGGATAGCAATTCATTTTTTATCCCTCTGCGGTCCTACTAGTATTGCATGCCACTCACACTAGTGATTTTTCAGTTGTTTGTGTTTTTTGGAGGTGTAATATGTATAATAATATAATAATCATTATTTCCACCAGATTGTGTCCTACCTGCTGGACCTGCCAGAGAAGGATGAGGAGGAGGTGGAACGTGCTCAGATTAACAACTTTGACACCCTGTGGGGAGAGACAGGTACGCTAAGGCCTCTCGTCATGTGCTTTTTAAAAAGGTCTTCAGATATAGTCCGCAGCCTTGTGGAGATTCAGTTTTCAACTCCGCAAACTAGTTTTTTTTACCCTGTCCATTTTTACAGTGCTGTTTTCTTAGGGAGAATCATTACGTGTCCGTGGCTTTAGGTTTGATACTTGAATTCTAAGCCGATGCTTAGTCTGGGCTAAAGATAAGTTGTAGCGGCCACCAAAATGTGGATGGATGTCATGATTGCTTGCTTAAACATAGGAAGTGATGCTTGCTGTCTTGTTTATCACAAGGTTTTAGATCACTACACTTAGATAAAACATGATAATAAATTGTCTTCAATCAGACTAGTCATGACGGATTTGAGCAGACCCCTAGAGCGAGGGCTGCAGTGCAGATATGAGAGAGATTTGCTCTGCTGCTTCTGCGCCAGACAGAGGCTGACTGATGTCAGACAGTGCAGTGGTGTCATTGGAGGACAGACAGACAGGGCAGGGCAGAGCTCGGAGCTAGTCTCAGAGGGAGAGCAGAGGGGGGACCGGTCTGCTCTGGGGTGCTCAACAATGACTGTGTTATTTTATTTTTTTAGATTTCTTACCTTTATTTAACTAGGCAAGTCAGTTAAGAACAAATTCTTATTTACAATGACGGCCTACACCGGCCAAACCTGGACGACGTTGGGCCAATTGTGCGCCGCCCTATGGGACTCCCAATCACGGCCGGTTGTGATACAGCCTGGAATCGAACCAGGGGGTCTGTAGTGACGCCTCAAGCACTGAGATGCAGTGCCTTAGACCGCTGTGCCACTCGGGAGCACTGAACATGTGGTTCCCACATGAGGATTGGAAAGATTGAGATAAATCAAGCTATTACTGTTAGAGCCTATTCTCTCTCTCAGTACTAATATGACTCAGTCAGTTAAATCCATAGATGTTACTGTCTGTCTACTGTCTGTCTGTCTACTGTCTGTTTACTGTCGGTCTACTGTTTATCTACCGATATCTACTGTCTGTCTGTCTACTCCCACTCTCCACTCTGTCTGCATACTAACAAATGACACACATAATGGCTGTAACTCTTATAATGATGTGCAACCAGAGGAAAAAAAAACTCTAGACCACCTTTACTCCAAACACAGAGACGTATACAAAGCTCTCCCTCGCCCTCCATTTGGCAAATCTGACCATAACTCTATCCTCCTGATTCCTGCTTATAAGCAAAAACTAAAGCAGGAAGCACCAGTGACTCGGTTAATAAAAAAGTGATCAGATGACGCAGATGCTAAGCTACTGGACTGTTTTGCTAGCACAGACTGGAACATGTTCCGGGATTCTTCGGAGGGCATTGAGGAGTACACCACATCAGTCACTGACTTCATCAATAAGTGCATCGATGACGTCATCCCCACAGTGACCGGACGTACATAACCCAACCAGAAGCCATGGACTACAGGCAACATCCGCACTGAGATAAAGGGTAGTGCTGCCGCTTTCAAGGAGCGGGACTCTAACCTGGACGCTTATAAGAAATCCCGCTATGCCCTCCGACGAACCATCAAACAGGCAAAGAGTCAATACAGGACTAAGATTGAATCGTACTACACCGGCTCTGATGCTCGCCGGATGTGGCAGGGCTTGAAAACGATGACAGACTACAAAAAGAAGCACAGCCGCGAGCTGCCCAGTGACACAAGCCTACCAGACGAGCTAAACCACTTCTATGCTCGCTTCGAGGCAAGCAACACTGAAGCATGCATGAGAGCACCAGCTGTTCCGGATGACTATGTGATCACGCTCTCCATAGCCGATGTGAGTAAGACTTTTAAGCAGGTCAACATTCACAAGGCTGCAGGGCCAGACGGATTACCAGGACGTGTACTCCGAGCATGTGCTGACCAACTGGCAAGTGTCTTCACCGACATTTTCAACATGTCCCTGACTGAGTCTGTAATACCAACATGTTTCAAGCAGACCACCATAGTCCCTGTGCCCAGGGACACTAAGATAACCTGCCTAAATGACTACCGACCCGTAGCACTGACGTCTGTAGCCATGAAGTGCTTTGAAAGGCTGGTCATGGCTCACATCAACACCATTATCCCAGAAACCCTAGACCCACTCCAATTTGCATACCGCACCTAACAGATCCACAGATGATGCAATCTATATTGCACTCCACACTGCCCTTTCCCACCTGGACAAGAGGAACACCTACGTGAGAATGCTATTCATTGACTTAAGCTCAGCGTTCAACACCATAGTGCCCGCAAAGCTCATCACTAAGCTAAGGATCCTGGGACTAAACACCTCCCTCTGCAACTGGATGCTGGACTTCCTGATGGGCCGCCCCCAGGTGGTAAGGGTAGGTAACAACACATCTGCCACACTGATCCTCAACACGGGGGCCCCTCAGGGGTGCGTGCTCAGTCCCCTCCTGTACTCCCTGTTCACCCATGACTGCACGGCCAGGCACGACTCCAACACCATCATTAAGTTTGCAGACGACACAACAGTGGTAGGCCTGATCACCGACAACGATGAGACAGCCTATAGGGAGGATGTCAGAGACCTGGCCGTGTGGTGCCAGGATAACAACCTCTCCCTCAACGTGACCAAGACAAAGGAGATGATTGTGGACTACAGGGGAAAAAAACATTCTCATCGACGGGGCTGTAGTGGAACAGGTTGAGAGCTTCAAGTTCCTTGGTGTCCACATCACCAACAAACGATCATGGTCCAAACACACCAAGACAGACGTGAAGAGGGCACGACAAACCCTATTCCCCCTCAGGAGACTGAAAAGATTTGGCATGCGTCCTCAGATCCTCAAAAGGTTCTACAGCTGCACCATCGAGAGCATCCTGACCAGTTGCATCACTGCCTGGTATGGCAACTGCTCGGCCTCTGATCGCAAGGCACTACAGAGGGTAGTGCGTACGGCCCAGTACATCACTGGGGCCAAGCTTCCTGCCATCCAGGACCTCTATACCAGGCGGTATCAGAGGAAGGCCCACAAAATTGTCAAAGACTCCAGCCACCCTAGTCATAGACTGTTCTCGCTGCTACCGCACGGCAAGCGGTACTGGAGTGCCAAGTCTAGGTCCAAAAGGCTTCTCAACTGCTTCTACCCCCAAGCCATAAGACTCCTGAACAGCTAATCATGGCTACCCAGACTATTTGCACTGCCCCCCCCACCCCCACCCCATCTTTTTACGCTGCTGCTACTCTGTTAATTATTTATGCATAGTCACTTTAACTCTACCCACATGTACATATTACCTCAACTACCTCAACTAGACGGTGCCCCCGCACATTGACTCTGCACCGGTACCCCCCCTGTATATAGCCTCCCTACTGTTATTTTATTTTACTTCTGCTCTTTTTTCTCAACACTTTTTTGTTGTTGTTGTTTTATTTGACTTTTTATTAAGAAATAAAGGGCTGTAAGTAAGCATTTTACGGTAATGTCTACACCTGTTGTATTCGGCGCATGTGGCAAATACAATTTGATTTGATTTGATAAAGGTTAGTTATTTATTTTTTGAAGAGTTGTGTTGTATAACATGGCTGATCCCTGTGTGCCCCTCTACTCTCTGTCCTGTTGGGAACAATACTTGTATGACTCAATCAGATAAATGCGTAGACGTGACTGTCTACTCCCACAACACAATACGTTCTCTCCTTTCTCGCCTCCCTCTTTCGCTGTAAAATACTTGTGTTGTATAACATGGCTGATCCCTGTGTGTCCATCTCCTCTCCCTGTAGCTCTGACGGCAGCGGCAGGCCGGGGGAAGCTAGACGTCTGCAGACTACTGCTGGAGCAAGGAGCAGCTGTGGCTCAGCCCAACAGACGAGGCATCATACCCCTGTTCAGTGCTGTCCGACAGGGAAACTGGCAGGTGAGACTGAGTGCACCCTTTACAATGTACTACTTTTGACCTGGGCCCATAACACAAAACACTTCATATTAAAGGTAGACTCAGAAAAATTATGTTGCTACGAGCAGCACCGCAGATATTGCGATGAGCGAGATGCAAGACTTCGCTCTCACACAGCCACACACAGTATCTGCATATGTGCATGGGTTCGCTTCACGCTGTTAGAGCGTGGTAGGTACGGGTCCAAAACAGCTGAGAAGTTTAGCCTCGCGCTTCAATCCCTCCTGAGATGTGTGCAAACCTGGTGGCCAACTACAAGAAACGTCTGACCTCTGTGATTGCCAACAAGGGTTTTGCCACCAAGTACTAAGTCATGTTTTGCAGAGGGGTCAAATACTTATTTCCCTCATTAAAATGCAAATCAATTTATAACATTTTTGACATGCGTTTTTCTGGATTATTTTGTTGTTATTCTGTCTCTCACTGTTCAAATAAACCTACCATTAAAATTATAGACTGATCATTTCTTTGTCAGTGGGCAAACGTACAAAATCAGCAGGGGATCAAATACTTTTTTTCCTCACTGTATGTCATATCGCAAATCAAATTGTATTGGTCGCATATACATACACTGAAAAAAATAAAGGGAACACTTAAACAACACAATGTAACTCCAAGTCAATCACACTTCTGTGAAATCAAACTGTCCACTTAGGAAGCAACACTGATTGACAATAAATGTCACATGCTGTTGTGCAAATGGAATAGACAACAGGTGGAAATTATAGGCAATTAGCAAGACACCCCCAATAAAGGACTGGTTTTGCAGGTGGTGACCACAGACCACTTCTCAGTTCCTATGCTTCCTGGCTGATGTTTTGGTCACTTTTGAATGCTGGCGGTGCTTTCACTCTAGTGGTAGCATGAGACGAAGTCTACAACCCACACAAGTGGCTCAGATAGTGCAGCTCATCCAGGATGGCACATCAATGCGAGCTGTGGCAAGAAGGTTTGCTGTGTCTGTCAGCGTAGTGTCCAGAGCATGGAGGCGCTACCAGGAGACAGGCCAGTACATCAGGAGACGTGGAGGAGGCCGTAGGAGGGCAACAACCGAGCAGCAGGACTGCTACCTCCGCCTTTGTGCAAGGAGGAGCAGGAGGAGCACTGCCAGAGCCCTGCAAAATGACCTCCAGCAGGCCACAAATGTGCATGTGTCTGCTCAAACGGTCAGAAACAGACTCCATGAGGGTGGTATGAGGGCCCGACGTCCACAGGTGGGGGTTGTGCTTACAGCCCAACACCGTGCAGGACGTTTGGCATTTGCCAGAGAACACCAAGATTGGCAAATTCGCCACTGGCGCCCTGTGCTCTTCACAGATGAAAGCAGGTTCACACTGAGCACATGTGACAGAGTCTGGAGAAGCCGTGGAGAACGTTCTGCTGCCTGCAACATCCTCCAGCATGACCGGTTTGGCGTTGGGTCAGTCATGGTGTGGGGTGGCATTTCTTTGGGGGGCCGCACAGCCCTCCATGTGCTCGCCAGAGGTAGCCTGACTGCCATTAGGTACCGAGATGAGATCCTCAGACCCCTTGTGAGACCATATGCTGGTGCGGTTGGCCCTGGGTTCCTCCTAATGCAAGACAATGCTAGACCTCATGTGGCTGGAGTGTGTCAGCAGTTCCTGCAAGAGGAAGGCATTGATGCTATGGACTGGCCCGCCCGTTCCCCAGACCTGAATCCAATTGAGCACATCTGGGACATCATGTCTCGCTCCATCCACCAACGCCACGTTGCACCACAGACTGTCCAGGAGTTGGCGGATGCTTTAGTCCAGGTCTGGGAGGAGATCCCTCAGGAGACCATCCGCCACCTCATCAGGAGCATGCCCAGGCGTTGTAGGGAGGTCATACAGGCACGTGGAGGCCACACACACTACTGAGCCTCATTTTGACTTGTTTTAAGGACATTACATCAAAGCTGGATCAGCCTGTAATGTGGTTTTCCACTTTAATTTTGAGGGTGACTCCAAATCCAGACCTCCATGGGTTGATAAATTTGATTTCCATTGATAATTTTTGTGTGATTTTGTTGTCAGCACATTCAACTATGTAAAGAAAAAAGTATTTAATAAGATTATTTCATTCATTCAGATCTAGGATGTGTTATTTTAGTGTTCCCTTAATTTTTTTGAGCAGTGTATTTAGCAGATGTTATTGCTGGTGTAGCGAAATGCTTGTGTTCCTAGCTCCAACAGTGCAGTAATATCTAACAATACGCAACAATACACACAAATCTAAAAGTAAAAGAATAGAATTAAGAAAAATATAAATATTAGGATGAGCAATGTCGGAGTCTGGTGTGTGTGTGTGTGTGTGTGTGTGTATATATATATATACACGGTGCCTTCGGAAAATATTCAGAACCATTGACTTTTTCCACATTTTGTTACGTTAAAGCCATATTCTAAAATTGATTAAACAAATTTTTTTCCTCAGCAATCTACACACAATACCCCATAATGACAAAGCGAAAACCGGTTTTTAGAATTATTTTCGAATGTAAAAAAATAAATTAACTGAAATACCTTATTTACATAAGTATTCAGACCCTTTGCTATGAGACTCGAAATTGAACTCAGGTGCATCCTGTTTCCATTGATCATCCTTGAGATGTTCTACAACTTGATTGGAGTCCACCTGTGATAAATTAAATTGATTGGACATGATTTGTAAAGGCACAGACCGGTCTATACAGTGAGGGAAAAAAGTATTTGATCCCCTGCTGATTTTGTACGTTTTCCCACTGACAAAGACTCCTGAGTGGCGCAGTGGTCTAAGGCACTAGAGATCCTGGTTCGAATCCAGGCTCTGTCGCCGCCGGCCGCGACCGGGAGACTCATGGGCGGCGCACAATTGGCCCAGCGTCGTCCAGGGTAGTGGAGGGAATGGCCGGCAGGGATGTAGCTCAGTTGATAGAGCATGGCGTTTGCAACGCCAGGGTTGTGGGTTCGATTCCCACGGGGGGCCAGTATAAAAAAAAATATGTATTCACTAACTGTAAGTCGCTCTGGATAAGAGCGTCTGCTAAATGACTAAAATGTAAAATGTAAATGATGATCAGTCTATAATTTTAATGGTAGGTTTATTTGAACAGTGAGAGACAGAATAACAACAAAAAAATCCAGAAAAACGCATGTCAAAAATGTTATGAATTGATTTGCATTTTAATGAGGGAAATAAGTATTTGACCCCTCTGCAAAACATGACTTAGTACTTGGTGGCAAAACCTTTGTTGGCAATCACAGAGGTCAGACGTTTCTTGTAGTTGGCCACCAGGTTTGCACACATCTCAGGAGGGATTTTGTCCCACTCCACTTTGCAGATCTTCTCCAAGTCATTAAGGTTTCGAGGCTGACGTTTGGCAACTCGAACCTTCAGCTCCCTCCACAGATTTTCTATGGGATTAAGGTCTGGAGACTGGCTAGGCCACTCCAGGACCTTAATGTGCTTCTTCTTGAGCCACTCCTTTGTTGCCTTGGCCGTGTGATTTGGGTCATTGTCATGCTGAAATACCCATCCACGACCCATTTTCAATGCCCTGGCTGAGGGAAGGAGGTTCTCACCCAATATTTGACGGTACATGGCCCTGTCCATCGTCCCTTTGATGCGGTGAAGTTGTCCTGTCCCCTTAGCAGAAAAACACCCCCAAAGCATAATGTTTCCACCTCTATGTCTGACGGTGGGGATGGTGTTCTTGGGGTCATAGGCAGCATTCCTTCTCCTCCAAACACGGCAAGTTGAGTTGATGCCAAAGAGCTCAATTTTGGTCTCATCTGACCACAACACTTTCACCCAGTTCTCCTCTGAATCATTCAGATGTTCATTGGCAAACTTCAGACGGGCCTGTATATGTGCTTTCTTGAGCAGGGGGACCTTGCGGGCGCTGCAGGATTTCAGTCCTTCACGGCGTAGTGTGTTACCAATTGTTTTCTTGGTGACTATGGTCCCAGCTGCCTTGAGATCATTGACAAGATCCTCCCGCGTAGTTCTGGGCGGATTCCTCACCATTCTCATGATCATTGCAACTCCACAAGGTGAGATCTTGCATGGAGCCCCAGGCCGAGGGAGATTGACAGTTCTTTTGTGTTTCTTCCATTTGCGAATAATCGCACCAACTGTTGTCACCTTCTCACCAAGCTGCTTGGCGATGGTTTTGTAGCCAATTCCAGCCTTGTGTAGGTCTACAATCTTGTCCCTGACATCATTGGAGAGCTCTTTGGTCTTGGTCATGGTGGAGAGTTTGGAATCTGATTGATTGATTGCTTCTGTGGACAGGTGTCTTTTCTACAGGTAACAAGCTGAGATTAGGAGCACTCCCTTTAAGAGTGTGCTTCTAATCTCAGCTCGTTACCTGTATAAAAGACACCTGGGAGCCAGAAATCTTTCTGATTGAGAGGGGGTCAAATACTTATTTCCCTCATTAAAATGCAAATCAATTTATAACATTTTTGACATGCGTTTTTCTGGATTTTTTTGTTGTTATTCTGTATCTCACTGTTCAAATAAACCTACCATAAAATTATAGCCTGATCATTTCTTTGTCAGTGGGCAAACGTACAAAATCAGCAGGGGATCAAATACTTTTTTCCTTCACTGTATAAGGTCCCACAGTTAACAGTGCATGTCAGAGCAAAAACCAAGCCATGAGTTCGAAGAAATTGTCCGTAGAGCTCCGAGACAGGTTTGTGTCGAGGCACAGATCTGTGGAAGGGTACCAAAACAGTTCTGCAGCATTGAAGGTCCCCAAGAACACAGTGGCCTCCATCATTCTTAAATGGAATAAGTTGGAACCACCAAGACTCTTCCTCACCAAGACTCTTCATTCTGACAGGGGTCTAGAGTTCCTCTGTGGAGATGGGAGAACCTTCCAGAAGGACAACCATCTCTGCAGCACTCCACCAATTAGGCCTTTATGGTAGAGTGGCCAGACGGAAGCCACTCCTCAGTAAAAGGCACATGACAGCCCGTTTGGAGTTTGCCAAAAGGCACCTAAAGAATCTCAGACCATGAGAAACAAGATTCTCTGGTCTGATGAAACCAAGATTGAACTCTTTGGCCTGAATGCAGGCGTCACGTCTGGAGGAAACTTGAAACCATCCCTATGGTGAAGCATGGTGGTGGCAGCATCATGCTGAGGGGATGTTTTTCAGCGGCAGCGACTGGGAGACTAGTCAGGATCGAGGCAAAGATGAACGGAGCAAAGTACAGAGATATCCTTGATGAAATCCTGCTCCAGAGCACTCAGGACCTCACATTAAGGGCGAAGGTTCACCTTCCAACAGGACAACGACCCTAAGCACACAGCCAAGACAACGCAGGAGTGGCTTCGGGACAAGTCTCTGAATGTCCTTAAGTGGCCCACCCAGAGCCCGGACTTGAACCTGATTGAACCTGATCGAACATCTCTGGAGAGACCTGAAAATAGCTGTGCAGTGACGCTCCCCATCCAACCTGACAGAGCTTGAGAGAATCTGCAGCGAAGAATGGGAGAAACTCCCCAAAATACAGGTGTGCTAAGCTTGTAGCGTCATAACCAAGAAGACTCGAGGCTGTAACCGCTTCCCAAAGTACTGAGTAAAGGGTCTGAATACTTATGTAAATGTGATATTTCCGTTGTCACTATGGGGTATTGTGTGTAGATTAATGAGGGGAAAAAACAATGTAATCCATTTTAGAATAAGGCTGTAACGTAACAAAATCTGGAAAAAGTCAAGGGGTCTGAATACTTTCCGAATGCAGTGTGTGTGTGTGTGTGTGTGTGTGTGTGTGTGTGTGTGTGTGTGTGTGTGTGTGTGTGTGTGTGTGTGTGTGTGTGTGTGTGTGTATTTATCTACAGTACCAGTCAAAAGTTTGGACACACCTACTCATTCAAGGGTTTTTCTTTATTTTTACTATTTTCTACATTGTAGAATAATAGTGAAGACATCAAAAGTATGAAATAACACATATGGAATAATGTAGTAACTAAATAAGTATTAATCAAATCAAAATATATTTGAGATTCTTCAAATAGCCACCCTTTGCCTTGATGACAGCTTTGCACTCTCTTGGCATTCTTTCAACCAGCTTCACCTGGATGCTTTTCCAACAGTCTTGAAGGAGTTCCCACATATGCTGAGCACTTGCTGGCTGCTTTTCCTTCACTCTGCCGTACGACTCATCCCAAACCATCTCAATTGGGTTGATGTCGGGGGATTGTGGAGGCCAGGTCATCTGATGCAGCACTCCATTACTCTCCTTCTTGGTAAAAATACCCCTTACACAGCCTGGAGGTGTGTTGGGTCATTGTCCTGTTAAAAAACAAATGATAGTCCCACTAAGCCCAAACCAGATGGGATGGCGTATCGCTGCAGAATGCTGTGGTAGCCATGCTGGTTAAGTGTGCCTTTAATTCTAAATAAATCACAGACAGTGTCACCAGCAAAGCACCCCCACACTGTAACACCTCCTCCTCCATGCTTTATGGTGGGAACTACACATGCAGAGATCATCCGTTCACCCACACCGCATCTCACAAAGACATGGCAGTTGGAACTAAAAATCTCTAATTTGGACTCATCAGACCAAAGGACAAATTTCCACCGGTCTAATGTCCATTGCTCGTGTTTCTTGGCCCAAGCAAGTCTCTTCTTCTTATTGGTGTCCTTTAGTAGTGGTTTCTTTGCAGCAATTCGACCATGAAGGCCTGATTCACGCAGTCTCCTCTGAACAGTTGATGTTGAGATGTGTCTGTTACTTGAACTCTGTGAAGCATTTATTTGGGCTGCAATCTGAGGTGCAGTTAACTCTAATGAACTAATCCTCTGCAGCATAGGTAACTCTGGGTCTTCCTTTCCTGTGGCAGTCCACAGCATTTGTGGGAACTCCTTCAAGACTGTTGGAAAAGCATTCCAGGTGAAGCTGGTTGAGAGAATGTCAAGTGTGAAAAGCTGTCATCAAGGCAAAGAGTGTCTACTTTGAAGAATCTCAAATATATAACATATTTTGATTTGTTTAACACTTTTTTTGTTTACTACATGAGTCCATACAGTTGAAGTCAGAAGTTTACATACACCTTAGCCAAATACATTTAAACTCAATTTTTCACAATTCCTGACATTTAATCGTAGTAAAGATTCCCTGTCTTAGGTCAGTTAGGATCACAACTTTATTTTAAGAATGTGAAATGTCAGAATAATAGCAGAGAGAATGATTTATTTCAGCTTTTATTTCTTTCATCACATTCCCAGTGGGTCAGAAGTTTACATACACTCAATTAGCATTTGGTAGCATTGCCTTTAAATTGTTTAACTTGGGTCAAACGTTTCGGGTAGCCTTCCACAAGCTTCCCACAATAAGTTGGGTGAATTTTGGCCCATTCCTCCTGACAGAGCTGGTGTAACTGAGTCAGGTTTGTAGGCCTCCTTGCTCGCACACGCTTTTTCAGTTCTGCCCACACATTTTCTATAGGATTGAGGTCAGGGCTTTGTGATGGCCACTCCAATACCTTGACTTTGTTGTCCTTAAGCCATTTTGCCACAACTTTGGAAGTATGCTTGGGGTCATTGTCCATTTGGAAGACCCATTTGCGACCAAGCTTTAACTTCCTTTCAGGTTATGTCGATATAGGACTCGTTTTACTGTGGATATAGATACTTTTGTACCTGTTTCCTCCAGCATCTTCACAAGGTCCTTTGCTGTTGTTCTGGGATTGATTTGCACTTTTCGCACCAAAGTAGACTCATCTCTAGGAGACTCCTTCCTGAGCGGTATGACAGCTGCGTGGTCCCATGGTGTTTATACTTGCATACTATTGTGTGTACAGATGAACGTGGTACCTTCAGGCGTTTGGAAATTGCTTCCAAGGATGAACCAGACTTGTGGAGGTCTACAATTTTTTTTCTGAGGTCTTGGCTGATTTCTTTTGATTTTCCCATGATGTCAAGCAAAGAGGCACTGAGTTTGAAGGTAGGCCTTGAAATACATCCACAGGTACACCTCCAATTGACTCAAATTATGTCAATTAGCCTATCAGAAGCTTCTAAAGCCATGACATCATTTTCTGGAATTTTCCAAGCTGTTTAAAGGCACAGTCAACTTAGTGTATGTAAACTTCTGACCCACTGGAATTGTGATACAGTGAATTATAAGTGAAATAATCTGTCTGTAAACAATTGTTGGAAAAATTACTTGTGTCATGCACAAAGTAGATGTCCTAACCGACTTGCCAAAACTATAGTTTGTTAACAGGAAATTTGTGGAGTGGTTGAAAAACAAGTTTTAATGACTCCAACCTAAGTGTATGTAAACTTCTGACTTCCAACTGTATGTGTTATTTCATACTTTTGATGTCTTCACTATTATTCTACAATGTAAAAAATTGTAAAAATAAAGAAAAAACCCTTGAATGAGTAGGTGTGTCCAAACTTTTGACTGGTAGTGTATGTGTGCATATGTATGTGTATATATGTATGTGTGGATGATGGGATGTATAGACATTATGGATAGTATATGGATAGAATATGTGGTGTATCTGAAGAATGTGTAGGATAGAATAGTATATGTACAGCAATAGTTGAATAGGGTGGCCTTGACAACAATACAGCATACGGCAATGTTGACAAAAACAGACAGTTGTGTGCTGGATGGTAACGATAGTGTTGTCCTCTCTCAGATCGTGGACCTGCTCCTTACTCACGGAGCAGACGTGAACCTGGCTGACAAGCAGAGCCGAACCCCTCTGATGATGGCTGCATCAGAGGGTCACCTGGGCACTGTGGAGTTCCTACTGGCACAGGGTGAGGGTCAGGAGGAAGAAAACAACATCCACTCATGTCATTGTCATTTACGTTATCTTTGACCTGCTGTCCTTTCATCCTTTTAATTATATACCTCAAACTCTCAATTACTTTTTCTACATCATTATTTTGTTAAATACAATCACCAAAGCATTGATGGTACTTTATTTTACCAATTGACCTTTGACTCCCAATGCTGGCCTCTAACCCCTGACCCCTCTGATCCCCCTGACCCCTCTGATCCCCCTGACCCCTCTGATCCCCCTGACCCCTCTGATCCCCCTGACCCCTCTGATCCCCCTGACCCCTCTGATCCCCCTGACCCCTCTGATCCCCCTGACCCCTCTGATCCCCCTGACCCCTCTGCCAGGTGCGTCCCTGTCTCTGATGGACAAGGAGGGGTTAACGGCTCTGAGCTGGGCGTGTCTGAAGGGACACCTGCCCGTGGTGCGCTGTCTGGTGGAGCAGGGGGCTGCTACGGACCATGCTGATAAGAACGGACGCACGCCCCTCGACCTGGCCGCCTTCTACGGGGACTCCGAGGTGGTGAGTGGATGGACAACATTAGGAACAAAAGAGACACACTTGTATTATATGTCTTTTGTCTATCCCGATGTGTTCAAGTCTACTGTATGTTCAAGTATAATTATATTTGTGTATATTTTGCTAGCAGTAACTCTCCCAAATTGTAGTACCATCCTATGATTCTACTCTAATGAAGATCATTTTAATCACTACATTTCTCCCTCCTCCCTCCTGTTCCCCCCTCCCCCTTCTGCTGTCTGTCCTCTCAGGTCCAGTTTCTAGTGGACCAGGGGGCGATTATAGAGCATGTGGACTACAGTGGGATGCGTCCTCTGGACCGGGCCGTGGGCTGCAGGAACACCTCCGTGGTGGTTGCCCTGCTCAAGAAGGGAGCAAAGATAGGTATGGAGAATGGACTTAGTGTTAGACTGAAAGCCAATAGAATTTGGGCAGGGGCTGTCCCAAATGGCACCCAATGGGCCCTGGTCAAAAGTAGTGCACTATGTGGGGAATAGGGTGCCATTCGAGACGCAGGCCAGGATTTGTAGACAGTGAATGAAATACCTCTCCTGGAAAATAACCCCCATCTCTCCACAGTGCAACAGTTTGGATATTTTGGCTGTTGACAGTTTAAAAATTTTTAACTATCCATGCATACAGTAGGATGACACAGCAATACAGAATCTGTGTCCTAAATAGCAACCTATTTCTTATTTAGTGCACTACTTTTGACCAGAAGTCTCTTTGGCGCTGAGCTAACAGCTAAACCCCCACTGCTACTGTATGTCCCCCCCACCCTGCTGCTGCTGCTGAACCATACTGCAGCTTTTCTCTGTTCTCTCTGGCTAGTCACTCCTCAGATCTTTATGTGTATCTTTGTTGTACTACTGTTAGTGTCTCCTGTATTCTTTCTCTTTCATGTTGTCTCTCTGTCTCTTCCTCTCTCTCAGCTCTCTGGTTCTTTCTTTCTTTCTTCCTTGTTCTTTCTTTATCTATAGTTCTTTTTTTCTATCTCTCTCTCTGCTCTCTCGACAGGTGGTTAGCACTGGCAGTATGTTTTTTTCTTCCTGTGTCTCTTTTTTCTTTCCGCTGGGGCACTTATCCCCGCTTCTCACTGCTGCTTTTTTCTGTTCCTTCTCTCACTCTTCATCTTCCACCACCTCCTTTTTCTCTTTCTCTTTTCTTCCACTCGCCCTCTCTCTCCCACGCACCTTTTTCTGTTTTTTCTTCTTTGATTACTCTGGCCCACTGCTCGCCGCTCCCCCCCCCCCAACACTCACTTCCTCCCTCGCTCATGACCTCTCCCCCTCCCCCCTGATCTCTCTGCGGTACCAGGATGTCAGACGCTGCCCAGTCGGCCCAGAGGTAATCCCAAGGCTGTCGACATCTCACCCCAGCAGGCATTTTGACAGCCCTATCTCCTCTTTCTGTGTTGTCTCTGTGTCGTTATGGTCTAAGTGTCAGCAGGCCAGCTTAGCTACAAACCCCATGCTGAGAAATAACACTCAGGTATTACTATTAGCACTGAGGCCAGGATTCAATCCGATCGCAGGTTATAGGCATTGCAGCTTTTAAAGTCAATGTTCCCGCATTCGTGGAGATCCCGTTCACGGTAAACACTGCATATGTTGGCTCAGTCATAAATTGCCTTTAAAAGCTGCAATGCCTATAACCCGTGATCAGATTGAATCCCAGCCTGACAGAGATATCTATAACTATAACTTGGACTGGTTTTATTTAGAGGTAGATGTTCACATTCCAGTTGGTTATCATATGACAGCATGCCCAGCCTCCAGCATACTACATTGTATCAAGGTGTTTTTTTATTTCCATCACACAGATGCATGATGAACCCCTCCTATACCTTCACTTGGTAATGATCACCAGGGGAACTGCATGCGTCTGTAATGCCTTTTCTCCACTATCCACAGTTCAGATGATTCTACTGTGCATTGTTCATCCTTCTGAAACATTCCTCAGTGTCAGCTAGGCCAGTCAGAAGTCCTGTTCCTACCTACTTCCTCTACCGTTGCCTCACCCTTGCCCTGGTCTGCAGAGCTCTTCTGTGTACTGCTTGCCTAGCTGCTATGAGTCTTCTCGTCATGCAAGAAGCCCACCAACCTTGTCCTCATCTCTCTAGTCTCTGTGTAAACGGGTTTCAAGTATTGCTGTCCGCAGAGAGATACTGTATGACAAGCTATCCTGATTAGGTTAATTGTCTTGCGTCAGAGTGCGATGATTCCGCCTGCACTGACTGGCGCGTAGGAGTGACGCCACCTGATGTAAGACAATTAGATTGGAAGTGACTCAGCCTTTACCAGCCACATAATTTTAGTATTTTGATATCTTTCATATTTCTACCCTTTTGGCTGGGATGTTGTCCCTACAGTGTACTTACTCCTCTACCTAGATCAATAGACTTTAGAAAGAGAATAGCTTAATTTCCTCTGCGGCGGACAGACATCTGCCTAGCTCTGTCATTCCTGCCATTTTGTTTGTTGTTCACATCAGTTGTTGTTGTGTGTTTACTGTGACTCCAAAACAACTCCTACATTCCTCTTATTTTATCTTTCCCTGCTTCTCTCACTCCTTTCTTTCTCATCCTGTGTTGTTCAGGTCCAGCCACGTGGGCCATGGCTACCTCCAAACCTGACATCATGATCACCCTACTGAGCAAGCTGATTGAGGAGGGAGACAGCTTCTATAAGGTGAGATCAGGAAGCCCTACCCGAATCTGAGGAAGGACTGTCACCTATTTATGGAAAATATTAATACATACTGTATAAGAAAGAAAATATCTATACATCAAAGAAAGACAATTTGATCTAATTAAACTGTGATTATTTTATTTTTTTTACACATTTTTATTACAGATTTAGTTATCCACAAGTGCTATACAACTTTTTTTGTTTTAATGGTCAATAAGACCTACAGTTGAAGTCAGAAGTTTACATACACTTAGGTTGGAGTCATTAAAACTTGTTTTTCAACCACTCCACAAATGTCTTGTTAACAAACTATAGTTTTGGCAAGTCGGTTAAGACATCTACTTTGTGCATGACACAAGTAATTTTTCCAACAACTGTTTACAGACAGATTATTTCACTTATAATTCACTGTATCACAATTCCATTGGGTCAGAAGTTTACATACACTGAGTTGACTGTGCCTTTAAACAGCTTGGAAAATTCCAGAAAATGATGTCATGGCGTTAGAAGCTTCTGATAGGCTAATTTACATCATTTGAGTCAATTGGAGGTGTACCTGTGGATGTATTTCAAGGCCTACCTTCAAACTCAGTGCCTCATTGCTTAACATCATGGGAAAATCAAAAGAAATCAGCCAAGACCTCAGAAAAAAAAGTGTAGACCTCCACAAGTCTGGGTCATCCTTGGGAGCAATTTCCAAACATCTGAAGGTACCACGTTCATCTGTACAAACAATAGTACGCAAGTATAAACACCATGGGACCTCGCAGCCGTCATACCGCTCAGGAAGGAGACGCGTTCTGTCTCCTAGAGATGAACGTACTTTGGTGCGAAAAGTGCAAATCAATCCCAGAACAACAGCAAAGGACCTTGTGAAGATGCTGGAGGAAACAGATACAAAAGTATCTATATCCACAGTAAAACGAGTCCTATATCGACATAGCCTGAAAGGCCGCTCAGCAAGGAAGAAGCCACTGCTCCAAAACCACCATAAAAAAGCCAGACTAGGGTTTGCAACTGCACATGGGGACAAAGATCGTACTTTTTTGAGAAATGTCCTCTGGTCTGATGAAACAAAAATAGAACTGTTTGGCCATAATGACAATTGTTATGTTTGTAGGAAAAAGGGTGTGGCTTGCAAGCCGAAGAAAACTATCCCAACCGTGAAGCAGGTGGGTGGCAGCATCATGCTGTGGGGGTGCTTTGCTGCAGGAGGGACTGGTGCACTTCACAAAATAGATGGCATCATGAGGAAGGAAAGTTATGTGGATATATTGAAGCAACACCTCAAGACATCAGTCAGGAAGTTAAAGCTTGGTCGCAAATGGGTCTTCCAAATGGACAATGACCCCAAGCATACTTCCAAAGTTGTGGCAAAATGGCTTAAGGACAACAAAGTCAAGGTATTGGGCGGCACACAATTGGTCCAGCGTCGTCCAAGGTAGGGGAGGGTTTGGCCGGCAGGGATGTTGGTTCGTTTCCCACAGGGGGCCAGTATGACAAAAAAACTAAACAAACAAAAAAACATGTATGCATTCACTAACTGTAAGTCGCTCTGGATAAGAGCGTCTGCTAAATGACTAAAATGTAAATGTATTGGAGTGGCCATCACAAAGCCCTGACCTCAATCCTATAGAAAATTTGTCGACAGAACTGAAAAAGCGTTTGCGAGCAAGGAGGCCTACAAACCTGACTCAGTTACACCAGCTCTGTCAGGAGGAATGGGCCAACATTCACCTAATTTATTGTGGGAAGCTTGTGGAAGGCTACCCGAAACGTTTGACCCAAGTTAAACTATTTAAAGGCAATACTACCAAATACTAATTGAGTGTATGTAAACTTCTGACCCACTGGGAATGTGATGAAAGAAATAAAAGCTGAAATAAATCACTCTCTACAATTATTCTGACATTTCACCTTCTTAAAATAAAGTTGTGATCCTAACTGACCTAAGACAGGGAATTTTGACTACGATTAAATGTCAGGAATTGTGAATGTAAACTTCCGACTTCAACTGTATATGTTGTCTGTCTTGTATGTTGTGTGTGTCGGTGTGTTCAAAAGAAAGGGAAAGTGAAGGAGGCAGCGCAGCGGTATCAGTACGCCATCAAAAAGTTCCCCCGTGAAGGCTTCAGTGAGGACCTCAAGACTTTCAGGGAGCTCAAAGTGTCCATCTTCCTCAATCTGTCCCGATGTAGGAGGAAAATGAACGTGAGTTGGTGGGCTCTGACCATGGATGCATCACAAATGGCACCCTATTCCCTATATAGTGCCCTACTTTTGACAAGAGCCCTGTGGGCCATCTATATTATATTATCTATATGTAATAGTGCAAAGTATGGTAATAGTATAGGTGATATGCATTATAGTACTGTACCTATAATATTACCTCTATTTTACCTCAGTAATTATTTGTACGTTTCTGACTCATGGATCACTTGTTATTGCTCTCAGGACTTTGGGATGGCTGAGGAGTTTGCTACAAAAGCGCTTGAATTGAAACCAAAATCCTACGAAGCGTACTATGCCAGAGCCCGTGCCAAGCGTAGCAGCAGGTATTTATTTCCCCTGCACATCCCTGCTATCCATCTACTGTAGAATAGTTTACCTATTCCGCTTCGTTCTCTTATCTTCTTCAGTCTCTCATCAAACAGTTTTCCTCCTTTTTTGACCAATTGATTTAAAATTAGTTCATTTTCACAGCAGTTTTAAAAATACAATACAATCATTCCATGTAAGTATATAAACCTTTCCTCATTTCCAACCCTGTCATATCTTTCCTTATTGTCTGGATCTGTAGGCAGTTCCCTGAGGCCTTGGAGGACCTGAATGAAGCCATGAAGCAGAGCCCCAACAACCGTGAGATCCAGCGCCTCCTGCAGCGGGTAGAGGAGGAGTGTCGTCAGCTCACCCAGGAGGAGGAGGATGCACAGAAGCTGGAGCCTCCCCCGTCTCCTCCCCCATCGCCTCCCCCAGAGGAGGGGGAGGAGGAGGCGATGACCCTGTCCTCCCTCCCTCTCCCCCTGGAGCTCCCCCCTCCCCCAGAGCCTCGGCTGGAGGACATGGAGCCGGTCCAGGATCTGTTTGAGGACGAGGACTATCTGGAGCTGGAGGCCATGTCTATGGGGAGTATGAGTTCTATGGGTCTGGCCCTCGAGAGGGAGCCCCGCTCCAACCCCTCCAGTCTGCCTATCATCCAGAGCCCACCTCTCTCTCCGACCAACCACCACCACCCCTACCATCACCAGGACCAGGCCTACCTGTCAGGGGGCTCCACCATGGGCCAGGCTTACGACTATGGCCACCCCAGCCCCACCTCCATGTCCTCCCCCGGCAGCCAGAACTACCAGCCGCCATCGCCCCCCTCCCTCTCCCCCACGCACCACAACTCCCACTACCGACACAGCCCTCCGCAGACCTCCCCGGTGCACCAGACCACCTACCACTTCAGCCCCCCGCCCATGGGAGGCAATGGAGGAGGGGGGCAGGGGACGGACCACGGATACCAGAGCCCCCCGCTCTCCCCCCTGCGTCGGGGTGGGGTACAAAGCCAGTACAGAGCCAGCCCCCCGGTGGAGAGTGTGTGTCTGTACAGGTCCCAGTCAGGCTCTCCGGTGCGCTACCAGCAGGAGCAGCCTCCCCTGTCCAAGATGAGCAGCCAGAGGTCCTTCCAGCTGAGCTCACAGCCCTCCCTGCACCACCAGGCCTCCCTGCACCACCAGGCCTCCCAGCACCATGACACCCTCCAGACACACCAGCACCACCAGGTCTCCCAACTGCACCACCAGGTCTCCCAACAGCACCACCAGGTCTCCCAACAGAACTCCCAACAGCACCACCAGGCCCAACTACACCACCAGGCCTCCCTGCACCACCAGGCCCAACAGCACCAGGCCCAACAGCACCACCAGGCCCAACAGCACCACCAGGGCCTGCGCCTCCAGCCCTCCATGGCCCAGATTGTTCGCACCAACCAGCCCAGCAACGCATACGGCCAGATGGGCCACCCCATGCGCTACCAGGGGGGCTCCATGGACGTGCCGATGGAGAGCCAGAGCCGATTGATGTACCAGCCCTCCCTGGATGGTCGCTCCATGCCCCAGTCCAGCCTATCAGCTGGGGCCCTCTGTCAGCACGGGGGCCGAGGAGGGGTCATAGAGGGACTGATGAAGGATGAGCTACCCCAGCGCCCCTCCTCTGCCTACCGTGCCAGCAGTGGGGGGGGACAAGGGGGCCAGGTCCAGGGGGGGGTCCGCTACAGCCAGACCCCCCAGATTAGCCGCAGCCAGTCAGCCGCCTACTACCCTGTCGCCAAGCACGAGCTGGAGCGCCAGAACAGTGCCATGCCCCAGTGCCAGCTGGGATCGCCAGAGATCGGCCACATGGTGAGGCGGCCCATCAGTGCCATTACCCCAGAGATCAAACCGCACATGTCCACTCCGCGGCCCCTCATCCACTCCCAGAGCGTGGGCCTCCGCTTCTCCCCCTCCAGCAACAACATCTCCATGGGGGGCTCCAGCTGTAATCTAGCCCCAGGCTTCAGGCCTTCCTCTTCCGTCCAGGGGATGGAGATCCCGCTACAGGTGGCCTACGAGGGCTACGAGGAGTACGAGCACTCCTGTAACGATGACATCTCCCCAGTCTCGCCCGCCCAGGGAGGTGGTGGGGGGCTGTACCAGGGCGAGGGCACCCGCTCACGGACCACGCCCTTTATGGGCATCATAGACAAGACGGCGCGGACTCACCAGACTCAGTACCTGCAGCAGCCCTCCTCCCAGCGGCCCTGGGCCATGACCTCCATGGACTCTGGCATCAGCCCCACGTCGCCCGGCCAGCTGGTCCAGCAGGGCTCGTCCTACAGCCCCCCCACCTCGCTGGGGAACATCGCCTACTACAACAAGACTAACAACGCCCAGAACGGACAACTCCTGGAGGAGGACTACTACCCCCAGCAGCAGCAGTCATCCCTGGGCAAGCTGGCCAACGGCAGCTCCCGGGGCGGAGGAGGGGACATCCTGGAGAGGGTGAGCCAGGTGCCCACCTATCCAGACGTGAAGGTGGCCAGGACTCTGCCCGTAGCTCAGGCCTACCAAGACAACATGTACCGACAGCTCTCCCGTGATATGTCCCGTGACTCTAGGCAGGGTCCAACCTCCCCCATCAAACCAAAGAGACCTTTCGTGGAGTCGAATGTGTGAATGTCCAGTCCACAGCCGGACTGAGCGTGTGAGTGGGAGGGGAAGAAAGGGGGAGGGGGAAGTTGAGTTGGGCTGGTGACCTTGTCTGACATTGATGAGGAACACATAATACAAAGACAGAGTACAGCCCCACTCACACAGAAAGCAGTGTCTACAATAGGCACACACTGGCGGTAGGAGTCATACAGTACATAGATACTAAATACTAACACGTGAGAGATTGTACTATTTTGTTGTTAAACTTCAACTCTGCACACATAGAAATAGAAAGATATGTCATTGAAAGGTGATGACAGGGCCAGTGCTGATCACACCCAGGGTCAGAGGCCCTAACACTTTTATAGGGGGGTGTGTGGCACAACTTTCTCCCCGTTTGGGGAGGTCTTGTGTGGGGTGGTGAGAGTGAAACTGGGGGCCCTTACCTTACTGTACCTGTGGACTCTCTAACCATCTACCATCTTCTATCCTTAAAATACAAAGTGTGCACTTATTCAAGGTTGCTAGACTCTCTGTAATACAATACTAATATGTTCAATACTGTAAATGGAAATTACAACTTGACAGTGCTTAGAGAAAAAAAGTATAATATTTATTATTAAGCTATATACGTATAAAAACATAACATAGTTTGCATTTGGATTGTATTTCTGTTTTGCCATGTTGTTAGCCTTTTGTCCTAATAGTCATGCAACGACAGGTTTTGAAGATTTATGCTGCATTCATGACATGTCGGCCAGGGAAACTGATATTTCCGACTTGGAAACTCATTGTAGAAAAATGATACCCGACTTTCCGACTTGGAAACTATCAGAATCAACCAAGATGAAGCTCTACGCAAATAACTTATGATAATTTCAACTCTGAAATAGGAAGTTCCGACAAGCACATGAACGCCCCACAATTAGGGCAGGGGGTGAGGGACATTTACAAACCTTAAATTACTCAATGTCAAATGTTATTTTCGTATTTTTCGAAATATTAGGTTTGTTATGTTATATTTGTGGTATTTTCACTCAAACATACCACATAATGTTGCCTTTCATTTGAAGTTCAATTGTTACTGCCATGGCCTTCTACAAACATCCTCTAGAGAATAGTTCAACCAATAAACTACTCCTAATACTTACGCTGCGTTGTACTTGTTGAATGTTATTTGTCTTTCTTCCAACTAGGATAACTTTGCAGTGTTTAAAGGGGTATAAGAGGTTAAGTTTTGTGAAATATATTAATTTGTTCATTGATCCATTATTATGCATAAATCATTGTCATTAGTTTGAGGACAGAGAAAGTCATACAAATACCAAAGTTAGGAGATGTCCCCCTTCTGAAGTTCCTGGTAATAAAAGTATATATATATATAAAAGAAACTAAAATCATATACAGAATATAATAATGTAAGGAATATTTGAAGTTTTCTTTGTAATTACCCCGTGTATATAGAGTGGCTTGCGAAAGTATTCACCCCCCTTAGCATTTTTCCTATTTTGTTGCCTTACAACCTGGAATTAAAATGGATTTTTGGGGGGTTTGTATCATTTGATTTCCACGAATGGTCTCTTTGGTTTAGACCACTGCGCCACTCGGGAGGCCATTCCTTCAATTCTGACCAGTTTCCCAGTCCCCACCACCATGCTTTACTGTCCCCACCACCATGCTTTACTGTGGGGATGGTGTTCTCGGGGTGATGAGAGGTGTTGGGTTTGCGCCAGACATAGCGTTTTCCTTGATGGCCAAAAAGCTCAATTTTAGTCTCATCTGACCAGAGTACCTTCTTCCATATGTTTGGGGAGTCTCCCACATGCCTTTTGGTAAACACCAAACGTGTTTGCTTCTTTTTTTCTTTAAGCAATAGCTTTGGCCAGTCTTCCATAAAGCCCAGCTCTGTGGAGTGTACGGCTTAAAGTGGTCCTATGGACAGATACTCCGATCTCCGCTGTGGAGCTTTGCAGCTCCTTCAGGGTTATCTTTGGTCTCTTTGTTGCCTCTCTGATTAATGCCCTCCTTGCCTGGTCTGTGAGTTTTGGTGGGCGGCCCTCTTTTGGCAGGTTTGTTGTGGTGCCATATTCTTTCCATTTTCTAATAATGGATTTAATGGTGCTCCGTGGGATGTTCAAAGTTTCGGATATTTTTTTATAACCCAACCCTGATCTGTACTTCTCCACAACTTTGTCCCTGACCTGTTTGGAGAGCTCCTTTCCTTCATGGTGCTGCTTGCTTGGTGGTGCCCCTTGCTTAGTGTTGTTGCAGACTCTGGGGCCTTTCAGAACAGGTGTATATATACTGAGATCATGTGACAGGTCATGTGACACTTAGATTGCACACAGGTGGACTTTATTTAACTAATTATGTGACTTCTGAAGGTAACTGGTTGCACCAGATCTTATTTAGGGGCTTCATAACACCACTTTTCCGTTATTTATTTTGTAGAGAGTAATTTTTTTCATTTCACTTCACCAATTTGGACTATTTTGTGTATGTCCATTACATGAAATCCAAATAAAAATCAATTTAAATTACAGGTTGTAATGCAACAAAATAGGAAAAACGCCAAGGGGGATGAATAGTTTTGCAAGGCACTGTAGCCAAGTTATCGTTAGTCATTGTGTATTTATTCCTCGTTATTATTATTTTCTATTATTTCAATTTTTTTCTCTCTGCATTGTTGGGAAGTTCCCGTAAGTAAGCATTTCACTGTTAGCCTACACCTGTTGTTTATAAAGCATGTGTCAAATAACATTTGATTTGAAACCACTGTTAAAGACATTATTCTGCATCTGCATCATATTTTCTTGTTTTCTTTTCTTTTTGTTTACTGAGTTTTCATTCATACATTTCTGCACTAAATGCCTGTAAAGTTTTTAACTAAGGGTGCACTTTATGTATTTGAATTACTTAATTTTAGTTATGATTGTTACTGAATTTGGATGAATGGAGGTCAGGTGGGACTTCTTCTGACCAGTGATAATGGATTATTACTGATGACTCATCATCATAGTAATGAATGACAACATGAAGAATAAAACAATGTATAAAGATGTATATATCCCCCTCAACCCAACCCCAGATCCCTTCATAGACAGACAGGTCTCATACACAAATGGCTTGTTTAAAGAAAAAAAAAGATCTGTACCACAAGTGGAAATGCTCCTCTTTTGCAGTTTCCTTATAGCTACTGTTCAATTCAATTACAGTGTGTGTGTAACCTATTGACTGACAAAGTCAGTCAGATGGCCCCAAATCCAGTGACAAAGCACTTAATTTCAGTGTCAAGGGAAAGTCCTGGAGAGAAAAATGTAAAGGTTGTATTCATGACTAACATATTTTTATATTTGCCATGTGAGAGTATAAAAACAATGGATGTGTGAAAGTACTTCAGTCAGATTGAATGCTCAGTCAGTTGCCACTGCTTCATGAACAGTTTCCATTTGGGTCTTGTCTGCCATTCAAATGGCTGAATAAAATTATTCAAATGGTTCCCAACCCATAGTATAGCTCATTTATACAAATGTAAGACCGTACTGTATATGTGAGGAATTGTACTATTCTTTCAAAAAGGACTTTGAGGTGTTTTGTTTTTCAACTTTTGATGTAAAGTTGGTTGTAAATATTCAGATGCATGTTTGATTATTTCGCCAATCATGATCTCAAACAGAAACACATAGTGTCCTGAATCTGGTCTGTGATATACATTTGCGATTTGGGATAAGAGTAATGAAGCTGTTATCCCTGAATGTCCTTTATCCTTTCCCTCTAACCTCCAACCAGACACAACGCAAAACTCTGAAGCGTTCTATTTTTATTATTTTATTTAAATGTATTTGCTTGCTGAGCAGAGTTATTTTGTCTGTAAATGTGAGCTTTCAGAGCGCTGTGATAAGTTGAATTAAAAATAATAAAAAAATAATAATGTGTTTTTATCTCATGATAACTGATTGTAATCTGTACAGTCAAACCTATGTATTGAAGAATAACATTTATAAATGGTTACCAACTGAAAAACATCCTGCATGCATGTCATTTATTTGCTTCGGTCTTTCAGGTGAATGATATGAATAGCTGCTTATGTAGCATACAGTAACCTTACATTTTCATTGTCAGGTCATTTTTTACTTCTTTAATGTTACATGCCAAGCATAACATCTAGTACTACCTGAGGGAACTGCACACTAGCCTACTTGATTGTAACAGAGTCATTAATTGATTAGGTATAACCAGAATGTGGCACCATTTACCTTTACTTACAGATAATTTGTCAATCAAATTGTAAGGCAACATTGTAACTAAACGAAGTGAGATATTGCATACATATTTGGGAAGGAGAAGGTTACACTGCTGTTTACATAGCTAGGGAGTGAGAAGGTTACACTGCTGGTTACATTGCTAGAAATAACAGACGCATAGTAGAAGCTGAGACAAAATAACACCAAAAACATTTGGCCTATATCATGCAAATGGAATTATACAATCTTCAATCATCAGCAGAAAAATTTGCATTCAGCATTTATGTCTGACAATTTCCTTAGAATTCAACACCCATATTGCTATCAATTTCCCAATTTATACAGGAGTGTGTATGAAAAGAAAAGCATTATTTTAAGAGTACCTATAGAAACTTTTTCTCTCAGTGTCCAGAGTTGATCTTTTGAGGAATGTCGTTTTACTCCTTTTTCTTTTTGTGTGTGAGGAGGTGTACAAAGCCAGGTACATAGATCATGACCACCTGGGGCACGATGGTAAACTTGATAAAGAAGAGGAAGTAGAAGAGGGGCTGTGGTTGGATTGGTAGAGGCAGTCGATGGACATGGTAGAGAGCCATGGAGCAGAGGGCCAGACACAGGGCACGTGGAGCCCAGGGGAGAGTGTACCCACCTGGCTTCCAGTACTGGGCCAGCCCCAGGCCCAGGATAGCACCACAGTCCCGGGTGAGTGAGGAGAAGGGGGCTGTGTCCAGCCGAATCCACTCTGAATGGGAGCACCACTTCTTAGCCAATGCAATGGACCTTGGAAATGGAAAATGTTAGAAATTCTATTAAATGCGATTAGAGCTATACAGTGAGGGAAAAAAGTATTTGATCCCCTGCTGATTTTGTACGTTTGCCAACTGACAAAGACATGATCAGTCTATACTTTTAATGGTAGGTTTATTTGAACAGTGAGAGACAGAATAACAACAAAAAAATCCAGAAAAACGCATGTTAAAAAAGTTCTAAATTGATTTGCATTTTAATGATGGAAATAGGTATTTGACCCCTCTGCAAAACATGACTTAGTACTTGGTGGCAAAACCCTTGTTGGCAATCACAGAGGTCAGACGTTTCTTGTAGTTGGCCACCAGGTTTGCACACATCTCAGGAGGGATTTTGTCCCACTCCTCTTTGCAGATCTTCTCCAAGTCATTAAGGTTTCGAGCCTGACGTTTGGCAACTCGAACCTTCAGCTCCCTCCACAGATTTTCTATGGGATTAAGGTCTGGAGACTGGCTAGGCCACTCCAGGACCTTAATGTGCTCTTCTTGAGCCACTCCTTTGTTGCCTTGGCTGTGTGTTTTGGGTCATTGTCATGCTGGAATACCCATCCACGACCCATTTTCAATGCCCTGGCTGAGGGAAGGAGGTTCTCATCCAAGATTTGACGGTACATGGCCCCGTCCATCGTCCCTTTGATGCGGTGAAGTTGTCCTGTCCCCTTAGCAGAAAAACACCCCCAAAGCATAATGTTTCCACCTCCATGTTTGACGGTGGGGATGGTGTTCTTGGGGTCATAGGCAGCATTCCTCCTCCTCCAAACACGGCGAGTTGAGTTGATGCCAAAAAGCTTGATTTTGGTCTCATCTGACCACAACACTTTCACCCAGTTCTCCTCTGTATCATTCAGATGTTCATTGGCAAACTTCAGACGGGCCTGTATATGTGCTTTCTTGAGCAGGGGGACCTTGTGGGCGCTGCAGGATTTCAGTCCTTCACGGCGTAGTGTGTTACCAATTGTTTTCTTGGTGACTATGGTCCCAGCTGCCTTGAGATCATTGACAAGATCCTCCCGTGTAGTTCTGGGCTGATTCCTCACCGTTCTCATGATCATCGCAACTCCACGAGGTGAGATCTTGCATGGAGCCCCAGGCCGAGGGAGATTGACAGTGTTTTGTGTTTCTTCCATTTGCGAATAATCGCACCAACTGTTGTCACCTACTCACCAAGCTGCTTGGCGATGGTCTTGTAGCCCATTCCAGCCTTGTGTAGGTCTACAATCTTGTCCCTGACATCCTTAGAGCTCTTTGGTCTTGGCCATGGTGGAGAGTTTGGAATCTGATTGATTGATTGCTTCTGTGGACAGGTGTCTTTTATACAGGTAACAAACTGAGATTAGGAGCACTACCTTTAAGAGTGTGTTCCTAATCTCAGCTCGTTACCTGTATAAAAGACACCTGGGAGCCAGAAATCTTTCTGATTGCGAGGGGGTCAAATACTTATTTCCCTCATTAAAATGCAAATCAATTTATAACATTTTTGACATGCGTTTTTCTGGATGTTTTTGTTGTTATTCTGTCTCTCACTGTTCAAATAAACCTACCATAAAAATGATAGACTGATCATTTCTTTGTCAGTGGGCAAACGTACAAAATCAGCAGGGGATCAAATACTTTTTTCCCTCACTGTAGATGTTATGAGGCAAGCTGCTTCTAAAATAGATGTAATCACATTCCCTATTTTCTTTATGATATGTGAAAACATTGGGTAGACTAGACTCACCAGGACAGGTCGAAGCCCAGCCGTGTCAGTCCTGAGTGGATTAGGAAAGCACTGAGGAGTAGCCCAAAGCTGGAACTCACAAAAAACACCAGAGGGCGACCTTCTGGAACCTGACGGCTCAGAACTACCCCAAGAATGAAGCCTGAAGAAAAGAGATAGGGACACTCACTTCAGAACGAAGACTATGTTCTAGAATTCTAGAATATTCTAACCCAAAACCTTGTCAACCTTAGAATAAGTTAGATACAGTATTCTACAGTAGGTTATACACATCTCTGAGTCTCCCGAGTGGCGCAGTGGTCTAAGGCACTGCATCGCAGTGCTAGCTGTGCCACTAGAGATCCTGGTTCGAATCCAGGCTCTGTCGTAGCCGGCCGCGACCGGGAGACCCATGGGGCGGCGCACAATTGGCCCAGCGTCGTCCAGGGTAGGGGAGGGAAAGGCCGGCAGGGGATGTAGCTCAGTTGGTAGAGCATGGCGTTTGCAACGCCAGGGTTGTGGGTTCGATAAAAAATAAATAATGTATGTGCTAACTGTAAGTCGCTCTGGATAAGAGCGTCTGCTAAATGACTAAAATGTAAATGTAAGTACAGTATTGTACATGCATAACTCCCACTACAAAGAACAAATGATTACATCCTCCTGAATAAAGTTGCACAAGACAGTACAGGTACTTTCTGACCTGTCAAAGAGCCAGCTATGACCTGATGGGGGAAGTGTGCCAGGATGAAGATACGAGAGAGGCCAACTGCCACTAACCCCAGCAGATACAGCAAGTACGGAACCGCTGATAGCAACACGCTGAAATAGATGCAAGAAGGGACAATGAAAACGGTTATTTATTAACCATGTCAAACATGCTCACACAGATTTTACAATATAGATTGCCTGACGGTCAATAAACAATGATTGCGTTAAAATAAAAATCTCATATTAGACTGACAGTCTAAATTTAGCAGGGACACATAGGGTATGCAGAAGTTGTTTATGTGATATTAATTTATTGTTTAAATTTAGTACGGAATGAAATGGTCAGACCTGCGCGTGTAGGAGTAGAGAAGAGAACCCAGGGATGAGGCCATCACCCACCACACTGCTGCTGTTACCATTGCATGACCAGATGGACTGCCTGAGAGATGGAGAGGAATAACATTACTGTTCAAATAGGGTGATATTATGGTGGGATTACATTATTACCCATGGTTGTAAGGTCACACAGTCAGTTTGTCTGGTCAAGTAAATTATGTGCACAATATTTGGATGCTTTGTTGCTGTATGAGAATTACTAGCTTTTGGAATATTGTATTACATCTCACTAACCTGGACCTGTTTCACAAGTTGAAGCAAACTGGTGGAGTTTGGGAGGGTTTTTGTCAAATAAATGGGATTCTCCAACCCACCAGAATGGCCTCTCCCCAAAGAGCATCCTGCGTTGGAACGAAAATTCTAACGTCAAAATGTACACCACAAAAAGTCAAAATATGTTTGCCTTTATACTTACATCCTCCAACTCTTTAAGGTTCCGACGTTTGTTTTACCGTCGGACCAATAATAGAAAAGGACATGCCACGAATCCAAACGTGTTGCATAAAATATCAGAGATGTATGCGTTATATGCTCACCATAAATAAATGTTGATGCGTTAAAAAATGTAAATGAAACATATGATTTGTAAACGAATGACTTTAGATCAGAATAGTGGGTTTTCTTAAAGTTTATCAAGCATTCAGCGGACATTGCAGCTATAGGGCCGAGACTTCCGGTAAGTTAATTGAACGTTTTTAAAGCATAATGGACCAAATAAACGTTACTCTTACCATTTGAACACTAGATTAAGCCACTCTGAAATAGCAGCCACCCAGACAACTGCAAATCCAGTCCGTCGGTTGAGAAAGTAAGTCATGGGGAACACGAGTAGGAAGGCAGCTTTGGGATCCCCAATGTGAGTGGCAATCAACCAAAGTTTGTCTTGGCTCTTCGTTCTTTGTTGAAGTGCTTCAGCCATCCAAATACCTTGGGTGTGTATGGCCTCCATCATTAAAGTGAATACACAATATCAAGGATCCAAATAAGAGGATGATATTGTGAGGATATTCTGATTGATGGCGTGATAGTCAGGACGGAAATATTTTGCAGCAGAAGCATTTCTGAATCCTGACAACAGGGGGAGGGATGGGACAAACTTTGCAGGTGCATGTTAATGTTCTGATGGTAGTCATCGAACTGTTCTGCATGGAACTGTTCCATCAGTATCAGTCAATGCCTCCCTATCAGAGAGAGAGTGCAACTCCTTTTTTCATCCAGGGAGGAAACCCTATAATATAGTATTCTTGGTAAAAATCTTAATGTAATGCTAAAATACTAGCTACTAGCTAGCTACAGAACTGGAATTAATGAAAATCATGAGATGGGACGTAGCTACGTGATTTGACACGCCCCGAAGTCGTGCAAGTGACGAGATCACGTACTAATTTTACGTAAGACTTGCGCTCCGGTTTTCTGGCGGAGAAGATGGCGGCTCCTGGACCGGGGGAGTATTTTAGCGTCGGGAGCCATGTCTCTTGTCTCACCTGCTTGGGCCAGCGTCTGCAAGGAGAGGTGGTGGCCTTCGATTACCAGTCCAAGATGTTGACTTTGAGTATCCTTTCTCAATTTTAGGATGCCATTGAATCATTGGCCTGTTTGCCTGCAAGGGCATGTGTCAAATAGTGATCCGCGCAGGCGTAATTAATAGTACAGTAGCTAGCCGAATTGCTTAGCTAGCTTTGTCCCCGTGAAAGATTTTGATACAATTCATTAAGATTGTCTGAGTCGTACGCTCCTTCATCTGTATTACATTTGGTTAATGTTGATGGATTTTTGCTCTGAGTTCTTAGTTATTTTTACATGTGTTGTTGTGATTCAACGTAGAATTGCTGGTCCTCGACTAGGATCACTATTTGGCAGAATCCTGTATGGCATGGCATCATGGCAGATTCACTGTTAATGGTATAATTGATATTGGCTAGCGTGACAGTCTTGCTAGATAGTTAACTTAACTAGTCAACTGACCATCACAGAGGCTTTTTTAAACAGACCACCTGACTGATTGCATACATATCAATAATAAATGACAACACTGAATTTCATTGTACCTCAATGCTAACTAGCAGCTAGATAGCTAACGTTAGCTAGCTAGCTTTAGATAGCCAGCATATTACGGGACCATTTGACGCTGTCTTTATGTTTGATATTCGTAAGTGTCACTCATGAAATCTAACTCACGGCATGATTGATTTGTCAAAGTCAGTGACGTTAAGTATTCTGACAGAAACGGCATAACGCTAGCTACAAGCTAATAGTATTGCCCGACTATGGCTTTTCAATACACCTTGGCCCAAGTAGCTAGCTGAAAAAGCTATGGATGTTTCTCTCCGCAATCCACACTCCTGAGGGTGGGCGTGGGACCACCTTGCACTGGCTCCAATGGCTGGTTGTCACATGAGTGCTTCTATTGCTAGCCATTCAACTATCTTTTTTTTCTGCTAGCTATACCAGTCCACTGAGACTGGAGCTGTAATTTAGCATCCACGGAGCATTTTAATTGAATAGGAGAGAACCGGTTGGTGTCAAATAATGGCAGTGGCAGACAGTAAAGATCCCACTAGGAACAAAGCAAGTAAAAATTTAACCACAGTTGCAATTCATTTCTGTAGTATGTGATTTAATGTTTTGTAGTTGAATAGAATAGCATGCGTTTTGTTTAGATGGCGTGATTGAAGTGACCAGTCCGCAGTGCTGATGAGGGATGTCCAGCATCTTGCCATGTTTCCTGGCAATTTTTTACAAGCTATCCCAGAGGTGATAGTTATACCTTCAGGAGAATGTGTATGTTTTCAGCATTTAGGCCTAGATGTTTAATACTAAGCTAGGGCCTATGTTGTGGAAGGACACACTGTCTCTGCATTTAGGGCCTTGTGTTGTGCATTATTTTATTGTTCCATTCATGCCTCAACCTTCTTTAGGATGCTTGCTGTCATTCATTGCCATGCTACAACCTGTGTATGTTGACCCAGGCTACTACAGGTGGCAGAATTGCCCTTGGTTGTCATTCCAGCTGACTGTGCCAGTACTGCCACTGACTGATAGGCCTGCCCCAACCTTAACTCGGTGTCTTACTGAAGCCGCTAGTGGAGTGCCATACGTCTGGCAAGTGAGACTTCCTCAGTCTACCACTCTATTACAGTGAGCTATGGTGTTGAAGTTGTCTGATATATTTTACATTTTGATAGGGAGAATAGACCATCATATTTCAATGTTGACGATTCACACATTCTAACGCTGCTGATGGTGATGTCATATTTGCTCAGTCAAATACCTGTAGAGGAGTAGAAGGCTCTCAACCAACGTGAGATGAGGTACAACCAAAAAATTATATGAGCATTTGGAAGGAATAGGTGTGACTCATGTGCGAGACATACCTCTTCCTTCCAAATGCTCAGTCATGCATTTTACATTTACATTTTAGTCATTTAGCAGACGCTCTTACCCAGAGCAACTTAGTTAGTGCATTCATCTTAAGATAGCTAGGTGAGACAACCACATACCACAGTCACAGTAAGTACAAGAGCTAGTAAGAAAAATAATGTAAAGTGAGAGTGTTAGTTCCAGAAATGTTTTATTTTATTTTTATGCACACCTATTTTGCTCAAAGCAATGAACTTAAAATGCCATGACATCTGTATGCACCTGCCCATTATTTGAAGTACGGCAATTAAATCAGTCTAATAATTTATACTTGCTCAGGTAATTTTATAGCAGCGTGTGCTTATAGGCTGTATGCAGTCTGGACCATTGGTATTGTAGGATGTTTTTGTATATACCTAGAATGTGAACTCTATATTTATTCATGTCTTGAGATTATTTTAATGTCACTGATGCTCTAGTCTTGTACACCAACTGCCATGTGTGCATGTGTTACTACCTTTACAGTTTGTTTACCTTGACTTGAGTTCCTCCCAGAATGTGCTCCCTCCAGCGGAAAGCCAAACCTCAACGACGTCATCCTGATCAATTTAGCCTATGTTTCTGAAGTTGATATAATAAATGACCGGACTGAAGCTCTTCCTCCTCTAGCATCACTGAATGTTAGCAAGGTAGGCCCTCATCTGCTGTCATACTGTAGATCCCTCAAATTCAGCCAGTTCCACTGCTTTTTTACATTCTTCCCCCACTAATCAGGGACTGATTTAGACATGGGACACAAGATTGGTGCTATTCATTATCAGATAGAACATCCCATGTTTTGGGTCAAGGTTGTCAATTGTGTTTTCAGTTGTTAGCGAGAGTTGCGTTTCACGCCTATTCCCTTCAAATGCTCTTATAGTTTGTGGTTGCACCTCGACTCACGTTGGTTGAGTGCCTTCTACTCCAGATCCCCTCCTAACTTTCTCCTCCCTGTCATCTTCCTCCCAGCTTGCCAATCGGGCACGGTCAGAGAAGGAGGACAAGCTGTCCCAAGCCTATGCAATCAGTGCTGGGGTTTCTGCGGAGGGCCAGCTGCTATTCCAGACTATTCACAAAACGTAAGTGCCTTTTTTCAATTTAGATTCAATAAACTTGATGAATTCCTGAGGGGCAGAGAATCGGTGGGTGGAATAGGATACAGGTAATAATTACTGGGTAACTAATATGGGCAGGTGATTTGAGGACAAAATTGAAGTAGTAGCAACAAAAAAAAACGGTATTGATCCATTTAACTCACAGGCCATGGAAATGGGCCTACTTAATCGCCTTTTTTCAGTCATACTGGCTAGATTTAGGCAGGTGACGTTTGAGGTCTTGACCTGATTTGGGCTCTTAAGCTTAGTTTAAATTGGTAAGAAGCGGGAACGACAATCCCATCTGACACCTCAGTTTTCCCCACACGGCAGACGTAGAATTTATACCGGTGCGGTTGGTCAACCATAAATAAAAACAATTATTACAATTTGAGATTTCATGCTTTATTTAGAAAATTGTAGAGTGGTTTAAATAGACTTGACTCCTCATCTCAAGGTCAGGGACTGTTTGACCAATTAATTGTTTCCAGACGTTAATCTAATGATGTGTACTGTGTTCTGCAGCATCAAAGACTGTAAATGGCAGGAGAAGAACATACTGGTCATGGACGATGTTGTAATTTCGCCGCCATACCAGGCTGAGAACTGCAAAGGCAAAGAGGGAAGCGCTTTAAGTCATGTACGCAAAATAGTGAGTATCGCCTACCTACTACTATTTCATCTGTCATTGTTGTGGAATTATGATACAGTTTACATGTCATTTGCCCTTTTATTTCTTACAAATAACTTTTGATACAATGGCATATAGAATTGGATCATGCATCAATTGTTCTTCCCCTGTCGTTCCTCTTTAGGTTGAGAAACATTTTAGAGACGTGGAAAGGCAGAAGTCCATGCAACGTTCACAAGCACAGCAAACACAGAAGGACACCACTTTATCTTCTTGAGTCGGTGTAGGGCAGTGTGGGTCCAGCCAGCCAGGGTAGGCAACACGGCGGGGGACAGGAAGGCTGCACGGCTGGCAGTCTGTCCCCACTGCCGGACAAGGTTGGCATTCCTAGCCCTCGGTGTCAGAGACCAGGAAGATACAGCGCTAAGGGGCCCTGGGTCCAGAAGATCAAACCATTTACGAAAAAGACAACAAAAAGAAGGAGGAAGAGAGTGAATCTTCAATTAGACTTTATAAAGATAATTTAAAACATGAAGCAACCATAGTTTCCTTTAACTAACTTCATCATCGTCTCCCTCACCCCCCCCCCCCCCCCCCCATCCATGAATTCATCATCGTCCCCCCTATCCACCCACCTCCTCAGTTTCATTTCTTCAAAAAGAGAAAATAGAGCAGTCAGAAAGGCTTGTTAGCTTTATTTTCGGTCATTTTCTTTTTGCTGTATCCATGTTCTACAAGTGTCTGTTTTTTCTGTATTTTAAACAAAATGTGACTTGAAATGCCACACTTTAAAAATACATTTTCTAAAATAAAAGTAACAAAAATTCTGACTAATACTGTAATTTCAATCGCTTGTTGCGAGGCAAGGAAACAAAACTTAGAAAGATTCAGATGGCAAATTATTGATTTCCTGTTGGTAGGACTTTAATTTTTTGCAATGACTTGTGGTATATGGAACATTGTAGAATATCACAAATTGTCTCTGCAAAAGAATGGTCACTCAATAGTGCAGTAAGCCTTGTGAAACCAGACTGACCACTGTGCTCATGTTTTGTTTCACATGGAGTGAAACAGAATATGAGCTATCACGAGATCGGTCTGGTTTCACAAGGCTGCAGTAGGCTACCGTTTAATCATGACTGTATTCAATGTGCATGGTCATACCTGGCAAGCCACCCATTATACACCAACTTAAACATGTTAGTGGTATTGGTGTCATACAAGTAAAATTATCTATCACATAAGTTGTTTAATCATTCCCATTTGCTATAATTTGACAACACTGCAATTAGAATTTCTCAGGTTATTTTCTCTATTTTGGAATAGATTTGATTACAGAGAACTGTCTTCTCAGAATCCCTTGATTACCTGGACATTCAATGAATTATTCAAATGAGTAAAGGATTATTGTTTCTCTCAGGCTGCCCGGTACTCAAATGTAACATGCTGCTGTGCTTGCTGCTTCAAAGAACTCCGGACAGATGATTAACAAAATGAGTGAAGAGAGGCCAAGTTGTCATTCCAAAGGACTGTAATTTACAGGTAATTTTGGTGTCTGTGATGGTAAAGTAGGAAGTGAGAATCTGCAGGTAATGTAATTACATTCCACTGGGTAACTGCTAGTCTAATCTGAAGTCTAATAGTGGAGAAGACCGATTCACGGACTGCTGGAGTTACGATTGGACTAGGGTACGTGTATGTTTTTATTGTTTTTATTTAACCAGGAAGTCCCATTGAGGTAAGAAGAACTCTTTATATTGTATATTTTGATTACAGAAATGTTAATACATAGGTTTACAGGACTAAGTACTTGATAATGAATCTATATACATATTTTTTTTGTTGGTAAATTACCTTTGGACAAAAGTGCAAATCTCATCAATGTTCTGGAAGTCATGGTTTTATATTGTGGAAAACATTGCTATTTTGGGGATCCACCCAAAATTGACCATATCTGACATTGGATGTTTAATGTTCCGTTTAATCTAATCAGGAATGTTCAATGTTCACCAACTGAACTGTACACATGACCACCCCCCCCCCCCATAACAGCTACAGAGTGTGTATTTTTCCCATTAGAAAACAGAATCAACAGCATCTTAGACCAACATCTTGGGGGATCCAGTTTGGGAATAGCACTTGCAAACAGTGACTGATACATCCTCCAGATTCATAAATGAGACCTCTACATTACATTTACGTCATTTAGCAGACGCTCTTATCCAGAGCGACTTACAAATTGGTGCATTCACCTTATAGCCAGTGGGATAACCACTTTACAATGTATAAAAAAATTAATTTGGTGGGGTAGAAGCATTACTTTATCCTATCCCAGGTATTCCTTAAAGAGGTGGGGTTTCAAATGTCTCCGGAAGGTGGTGAGTGACTCCGCTGTCCTGGCGTCGTGAGGGAGCTTGTTCCACCATTGGGGTGCCAGAGCAGCGAACAGTTTTGACTGGGCTGAGCGGGAACTGTGCTTCCGCAGAGGTAGGGGAGCCAGCAGGCCAGAGGTGGATGAACGCAATGCCCTCGTTTGGGTGTAGGGACTGATCAGAGCCTGAAGGTACGGAGGTGCCGTTCTACTCACAGCTCCGTAGGCAAGCACCATGGTCTTGTAGCAGATGCAAGCTTCAACTGGAAGCCAGTGGAGTGTGCGGAGGAGCGGGGTGACATGAGAGAACTTGGGAAGGTTGAACACCAGACGGGCTGCGGCATTCTGGATGAGTTGTAGGGGTTTAATGGCACAGGCAGGGAGCCCAGCCAACAGCGAATTGCAGTAATCCAGACGGGAGATGACAAGTGCCTGGATTGGGACCTGTGCCGCTTCCTGTGTAAGGCAGGGTCGTACTCTCCGAATGTTGTAGAGCATGAACCTACAGGATCGGGTCACCGCCTTGATGTTAGCGGAGAACGACAGGGTGTTGTCCAGGGTCACGCCAAGGCTCTTCGCACTCTGGGAGGAGGACACAACGGAGTTGTCAACCGTGATGGCGAGATCATGGAACGGGCAGTCCTTCCCCGGGAGGAAGAGCAGCTCCGTCTTGCCAAGACACAGCGTATCCATTATGCTAGACCTGGGCGACATAATCACTATGTCCGGCGACATCAAGATGGTTAGTGCTATCCAGAAACCTTGGGATGTCCCTACCCTAACCTAATCCTAACATTAACCCTTACCCAGTGATGTGTACTTAAGTAAAAAATACTTGAAAGTACTTTTACAGATGCTCTTATCCAGAGTGACTTACAGGAGCAATTAGGGTTAAGTGTCTTGCTTAAGGGCACATCGACAGATTTTTCACCTAGTCGGCTCAGGGATTAGAACCAGCGACCTTTCAGTTACTGGCACAACGCTCTTACCCACTAAGCTACCTGCCGCGCTAAAGTACTACTTAAGTAGTTTTTTTTGGTATCTGTACTTTACTTGCCTATTTATATTTTTGACAACTTTATATTTTACTTCACTACATTCCTAAAGAAAATTATATACTTTTTACTCCATACATTTTCCCTGACACCCAAAAGTACTTGTTACATTATGAATGCTTAGCAGGACAGGAAAATGGTCTAATTCACACACTTACCAAGAGAACATCCCTGGTCATCCCTACTGCCTCTGATCTGGCGGACTCACTAAAAACATGCTTCGTTTGTAAATTATGTCTGAGGGTTGGAGCATGCCCCTGGCTATCCATCTTTTTTTTTTTAACAAGAAAATGGTGCCGTCTGGTTTACTTAAGGAATTTGAAATGATTTACACTTTTACTTTTGATACTTAAGTATATATAAAACCAAATGCTTTTAGACTTTTACTCAAGTAGGATTTTTCTGGGTGACTTTCTCTTTCACTTCAGTCATTTTCTATTTAGGTATCTTGACTTTTACTCAAGTATGAAAATTGGGTACTTTTTCCACCACTGCCCTTAACCCTTACCTTAATGTCAGTTGGGACATCAAGGATCCGTTTAGACTTTTCAGTTTCAAAATGTCCCCACCGATGCCTGTGCTATGAAGCCTCAGACCTGGTGGAGTGTATGTCTCATGCCTTCACCCACATCCCTCACGGTGTGGCTCCTGGACCTGAGTAATAAAAAGCTGACTGAGCTACGGAGTGACTCCTTCACTGGGATCTGGTCGCTACGCATCCTCATGATCTCATAGAATGATCTGCAGGCTCTGCAGCCAAGAAAATGCTCATCCACAGGCTGCTCTCCCAGTGACCAGTGATTTTAATACAGGAAACTGAATCAGTTTCAACTAATTTCTACCAGCATGTCACGTGTGCAACTAGAGGTGAAGAAACTCTAGATCACCTTTACTCCACACACAGAAATGCATACAAAGCTCCCTTGCCCTCCATTTGGCAAATCTGACCATAACAGGACTGTTTTGCTAACGCATACTGGAATATGCTCTGGGATTCATCCGATGGCATTGAGCTTACCACATCAGTCACCGGCTTCATTAAGTGCATCGAAGACATCGTCCCCACAGTGGCCATACGTACATACAGTGGGGAGAACAAGTATTTGATACACTGCCGATTTTGCAGGTTTTCCTACTTACAAAGCATGTAGAGGTCTGTCATTTTTATCATAGGTACACTTCAACTGTGAGAGACGGAATCTACAACAAAAATCAAGAAAATCACATTGTATGATTTTTAAGTAATTCATTTGCATTTTATTGCATGACTTAAGTATTTGATACATCAGAAAAGCAGAACTTAATATTTGGTACAGAAACCTTTGTTTGCAATTACAGAGATCATACGTTTCCTGTAGGTCTTGACCAGGTTTGCACACACTGCAGCAGGGATTTTGGCCCACTCCTCCATACAGACCTTCTCCAGATCCTTCAGGTTTCGGGGCTGTCGCTGGGCAATACGGACATTCAGCTCCCTCCAAAGATTTTCTATTGGGTTCAGGTCTGGAGACTGGCTAGGCCACTCCAGGACCTTGAGATGCTTCTTACGGAGACACTCCTTAGTTGCCCTGGCTGAGTTTTCGGGTCGTTGTCATGCTGGAAGACCCAGCCACGACCCATCTTCAATGTTCTTACTGAGGGAAGGAGGTTGTTGGCCAAGATCTCGCGATACATGGCCCCATCCATCCTCCCCTCAATACGGTGCAGTCGTCCTGTCCCCTTAGCAGAAAAGCATCCCCAAAGAAAAGAATGATGTTTCCACCTCCATGCTTCACGGTTGGGATGGTGTTCTTGGGGTTGTACTCATCCTTCTTCTTCCTCCAAACACGGCGAGTGAAGTTTAGACCAAAAAGCTCTATTTTTGTCTCATCAGACCACATGACCTTCTCCCATTCCTCCTCTGGATCATCCAGATGGTCATTGGCAAACTTCAGACGGGCCTGGACATGCACTGGCTTGAGCAGGGGGACCTTGCGTGCGCTGCAGGATTTTAAATCCATGACGGCGTAGTGTATTACTAATGGTTTTCTTTGAAACTGTGGTCCCAGCTCTCTTCAGGTCATTGACCAGGTCCTGCCGTGTAGTTCTGGGCTGATCCCTCACCTTCCTCATGATCATTGATGCCCCACGAGGTGAGATCTTGCATGGAGCCCCAGACCAAGGGTGATTGACCGTCATCTTGAACTTCTTCCATTTTCTAATAATTGCGCCAACAGTTGTTGCCTTCTCA